GATATTAGCTCTCAGTAAGAACTCAGACCTTGGTCAAAAGATGCAGTTTTGATTCTGAGGTTCTGCTGCTTGGCCGGGTGTTGGCCCTTTCTGAGTGTCCTCATTTCCTGAAGAATGGTGGGATTGGCTGATAGCACATGAAATTCAGGTGAGATCGTGGTAGAACGGGGCAGCTTACAGCTTAGAAGGCCTGTGGTTAGGGATAAAGAATACTTCTGACCGTGGGAGGCGCTTGTCTTTGGTGAGGTTATGCTCAGCCATTATTGCTGCTGCCCCAAGTGAACACTGTGACAGATGCAGTGTTGTCCTGGGAGCTGATGGCCCTGGGAGCTGCCACAGACAAGCGCTGGGCTGACCTGATTGCCTCCGACGGGTGAGGGTTGGCCTCCGGAAAGCTTGCATAGAGGAGATATCCTGGGGGGGGGGGAATAGCAGATGGCCCCCAAGCTGCTGGCCTGGGGGCTGGGGGCCGTAATACAGGCACATGGGCAGTCCTGAGACTGCCCTAGTGTGGTCCGCAGGGGTGTGAGCCAGGTATCAGAGGCAGATACGTGTGCTCTCTGATTGTAGCATTTCTTGTGGCGACACCCACGGGCCCATCCATGCTCACAAGAAAACAGCACAGCGTGGGATGTGGCAGTTGGCTTGTTGTGAATGCAAGAGGTGCTAGGGGAGAGTGATCCAATGCACAGCCCAGGAGTTTCCAACCACTTGCCCAAATTACTGAATTTTCACTTTTCAGTGGTAAAATTAGCTCACAGGGTAATTTTGCAGTTACACACTTTTAGAGAGTTGTACTTTTTCGTCCCCACAAGAAGCAATAGAAGCACGGGGGGGGGGGGCTTTTGAGGCTGTGAGATAATTCATGGAATTAATCAAATGCAAATGCCAGGCTTGCATATACACAGACCCCATTTTCCTAATTGGACTCTGAGTGGGTACTTTTTCAGGCTGAAAGGGTCATTTGTTTTGACCGATTGACTTTTTGAGGCTTTGGGAGGAATTAATATCTTGTACAGATGACTGCCTGTTCCCAGGACTCCGCACTGAGGCCATTCATTCACTGATGCTTGCACCACAATTTGAGTCAGTGCCATCCCCGGGTGGCCTCTGTGCCAGAGATGGGTGGACAGGAGACATTGAGCCTGTGATCATTTTTGTGTGGGTGACAGTAGGTTTTTGCTAGCAAGTTTGGTGCAGATGCTGTGGGCATTATACTCTGAAAAAGCCTGGGCTAAGAAATGATGCCACAATGGGTTGGAGTAGTGTTGGTCTAGATATAGGGCCCTGTGGTTGAATGTTTTCCAATCATGACTGGCTTTTTCTATTTTCTTTGCAAAACCATGCTTAGCTTGATTGGGGGAGAAAATGAGCAGAGCCTAAGCAGGAAGTTATTTGTAGAAGTATGCTTTTTTTGTTTTTACCCTTTTTTTTTTTCAAATATTTGCATAGACCTTAGATTTCTGGAGGACAAGATGCAGAATTTATCAGTAAAGATTTACACAGCTTGTTTCCTATATGCCTTTATTTCATGACCATCTTCAGCATGGCCTCCTCAGGAGACCAGAAGACAAATAGGGCAGCCCTGCTGAGAAAAAGTTAATCTTATCAGGGACAGAAGAAAACCTCAGAGGCTACTTCATTGTCCTTTAAATAGGAGCCCTGTGCCTGTTTTCTTAATGCATTCTACAAGCGCTAGCCCTGAGTTCAGTGTAGTCTGTATGTGGAATGTGGCCCTCCCTAGAGCATGCTTGTTCCGCTAAACTCCATTCTCAGATGACCTTGGGTAAGTCACCCAACACTTTTGCTCTGAAGTAAGGGTGATGACCTGTGTTCTGTAGCCAGTGTATTAATGGACACTAGCTGGACACCCAGGTAAAGGCTCTGGGAAGATTTCCATACAGTGTCATTTCATCCTTACACTATCCCACCAGGTTATTTAGTGCTATTCTTCTTCCCATTTTACTGGAAAAGTTAGTGAAGTGCAGTGGTATCAGGGATGTGTCCCAGATGTCCCTGCCTCGTTGGGGATCCTTTGACCCCCACTGTCCAGGACAGCTGGCCCCAACTGCATGGAGGAGCAGCAACAATCAGAAAAATGAAGAGGAAATAAATGAGCTCAAGGGCTCTGCAGATTACACAGTGTGAAAGGTGACTTTGTGTCTCTGGGTCATGAGCCTTTCAGAAATGTCAGCTGTGGTTTTATCATTAAGTTGTATTTTGAGGTTGAAGAAGGAGAGCGAAGAGAACAAAGATACAAAGAGAACTGGAGGATGTAATGGAGATACTTTGAGCTTGTTTTATATTTAGATCTCTATCAAGTAGCTTTCACTTTTTTTGAACCCTAGACCTAGGTAATGATCCCTTTTATTTATTTTTTACTTTGAGATGGGCCTCTCACCAAATTGTTGCTTTATCCAGACCTGGTTCAAACTTGTGCTCTTTCTGCCTCAGCTTCCCAGAGTGCTGAGAAAGTTATGAACAGCCCTGTCATTTTGCTGTGATTTAGAATAAGGGTTTTTTTTTTTCCCATAATGTATTTGGTACAGGGTCTCACTATGCAGCTTGTACTAGTAGTGACCCCTGTTTTTAGCCTCCCCAGTGCTGGGATTACAGGCGCACTGGCCAGCTCAGTGTAGCATGTTGTCCTGGGGATTGAACCCTGGTCCCTAAGGAGGTTCTTGGGCCAGGGAGATGACTCGGTGGAATAAGCGCTTCCCTGACAAGCGCAAGGGCCTGAGTTCAATCCCTAGTTCCACCAAAAAAAAAAAAAAAAAACCTTAGGAGATTCTTAGTCTGCTGAGCTATCTCATCTGCAAAGGGCAGGTGAGTTGGTGCATTTGCTCTGCCCAGAGGAGCTTCTGTTTTCTGTGGCTTTCCTCCCACTCACCTTGGGGTGAGTACAGCGTAGGAGCATCTGAATACTGTGCCATTCTTTGACCCAGATATATAGCAGAGGAAGAGCTAAATTTACACTGCAAGCTGGAAATGAATGACTTATTGCAGGCTTACCAGGCAGACTTCAGCCATTCCTGCCTCTGTCTCTCTGTGTAGTAAGGCACAAACCTTAGGGTTTTGAGTTGCTGACTTCTCTGCTGGAAGAATACTCTTGCCCCAACTCTCCAGCTCTTCTTAAACAATAGTTCCCTTCCCTTTGAGTCTTCTCAGCCTCCGTTTGAAGTAACCTGACTTCTTCCCCACTAGGCAGCATCACCACCTTCTCCTTGTGGCACTTGTCATGCCATGAAAATTTGCTTTGAGGTTTGCTGTACATTGCCTTGCATGTCACTGGTTTTCGTCCACCAGTGTGGTTCTTCCTACTACAGCATATCCACAAAGACTTGCTGGGTGAATGAATGACTACATCCACATCTGAACAACTACTAACCAAATAAAATGAATGGTATCTAAACTTCATGGTAGTTAATGACTTGCTTTGTAACACTATCCCTGTTAGGTTTACAAAATGAAATACTAGTTAATAGCATGAAAAATAAATGTAATAGCAGTTCTTAAGTAGGAATATAGTATACTGATGGTTAAGAAAGCATTTTGTTACTTTTGTGAAAGGAAGGGCTGCTTTGTAACAGAATGTAAGTCATGTGCTAAAGTCTGAGGAGGTAGGTAGAATTAGAAAGGGTTTCTTGATTGGGAGCCTTAGATGTGATAGTGCTAGAAAAAAAGGAGAGGGTTGAGCAAAAGTTGGGATGAGTTCCTTAAGGTGCAGCTCTAGTTTTTCAGGAATGAGTTCTAGACTATGAATGGACTGTTTAGCTCCTAACAAGCTCCTCATACCCTTGTCCTCTGTGGGAACCTTCATGGGGGGTCTGCCAGCCTGCAACTTTGTACTAGTTTTCCTAGTGAGGGCATTATTTGCTCTTTTGCCTGACCTCTTATTTATAAAATAAGCTAAGAGAGTTAAACACCCTGCTGTTCCCAGTACTTGCCCAAACAAGATGTTTATGTCCTTGAATACTAAACTTGAAAGATTTCCTTCTCCTGGGAAAACGATGATCACTGAGTTTTGCCTAAGCTAGAGCTGGAGGCCTACTTTTTAGTAACTAATTAACTTACTGTGACTTGAGTAACCATCAGAACTGGCTGCTCTTGAATGAATGGGATGCCTGTGCCAGTGCAGGCAGCTGTGGGGACCTTTTGCTGCATCTCTTTTCCCCAGGTGCTGCCCAGCACACGGCTAGCACTGGCCCAGCATGATAGTGGGAGATAAGCTGAGGTCTGAGGCTGTAAAAAGGAGAAAGAGAGAAAGACAAGTTTGCATGGTAGGGTCGATGGAGCTGGGCCGGTTCCTGAATGGTGGCTCGGTCTCCTGTAAAACGCTTGGGGTGCTTCTGGAGCACAGGTGATTGAGAAACCGCACCTGCGTTCTCTAGATACAACCAGGTGAGTCTTACAGAAGTAGGCTCCAGTGGATTCCAGTGATGGCCCTGGCGGCTGCATTCTGCTCCTCTTCTGTGGGGTCTCTGACTTGAATCAGGAAGATCTTCTGGAAAGTTGTATGCTGAACATGGGCTCACTGCCTTGTTTCTTTTTCCCCGGAGGAGAAACATTTCCTTGTTACCTTTGCCAGATTACTTAGGAGAAGAGTGTAAATTGAAACCGTTTATCTTGAGATGTACTGCAGGGGCACATTGTTTATACAAGTGAAAGAAATTGTAACAGGGTTATTTGGTTTGGTCTGTAAAGAAAAGGTGTCTCAAATTTTCTTGCTCCTGTGGCATGGTCTGTTAGTTAGAACCTACTACACACAGCGTGCGTGTAGGAGGTGTGCCTCAGTGACAGGGGGCACAGCTGGTGGCCACAGTAAGAATTGAATATATTTATCACTCATAAAGTCTTCATTCATGACATAGTTCATGCTACTCCTCAGAAGATCAGCCTGTTCCATGACACCAGAACCTAGATTGGTTATCAAGAAAAAGAGAATATGAATTGGTGGTCATTTTTGGTGTTCTAATGGAGATTTGCCCATGTTTGTTCAGTTGGTGGCCGAGTAAGTCGTGAATTAAATTATACTCGACAGAAGATTGGAGAAGAGGCTATGTTTAATCCTCAACTCATGATACAGACCCCGAAAGAAGAAGGTGCTAATGTACTAACCACAGAAGCACTCCTACAACACCTGGACTCAGCACTCCAGGCCAGCAGAGTCCACGTATACATGTACAACAGGTAAGGCTTGCTGTGTTACCCATAGATACATGGCAGGTAAGGTGGCAGGTGTGGCTGTTGGTAAGGTTGCTCTGGATATACCTGGAGTATCAGTTTAAACAGCTTTCCTTGTAAAACTTGGTGTAGATTCAGTGCTGGTGATCGAACCTAGGACTCATGCATGCTAATGCAAGTGCTCAACCACTGGGACATTTTCTTTTTTCTGTTCTTTTATGAGCCCATCTTGATTTGGTTTTGAACTTTGATAGCAAAACAAGTACAATACAAGTTGAGCATGTCTTGTCAAATGACTGGGACCAGCAAGTATTTTTTTTCCTTTTTTCATTTTTGGATGATTTGGACATACATGATGAAATACTTTGAGGATAAGACTCATCTAAACACAATATTCAAATAAGTACAGCTCTGATCTACTTGGCTGTCTGTGTGCATGTCTTGAGGCCATGTTTCAGTGCTCAAGTCTTTCAGTTTTCCCAAACCTAATATTTTGTTAGCGTAGCAAATTATCTTCGTTGCCCCAACTATTGGTGAAGTTACATTTTTAATTGCCGCTAGTCAACTTACAAGCAATTCAAAACAAATACTAAAAGAAAGCAAGACAAAAGCAAGTTACTGTTTCTACAGATGGCACCTATTTGCCAGAAAGCAGATAGGGAGGGGATGAGGCTCCATAAAATTCTTATAGACTGAATAAGGTGTATTCACACACCATAATTTTTAAATTCACTTTAATGTCACAGTTCATGTAATAATGCTGTTGCTAGGGTGAAATATTGGGATGAGTTCTGATGCCTTGTTCCTTGTCTGTGGGTGGGTGGTGAGAGTTGTTGATTGACTGAGACTCACTACTAAACCTCATTTCTAGGGGATGACTTGACCTAAGTCCATCCTCTCCCCTAGGTTTTTCTAACATGTCTGAACTCAGGGATTAATGATTTTTTAAATAGTAGAGGTGAAGAATTGACAGCACAGACATTCAATAGCTAGGGAAAACCAGAGAAGGAAATAAAATTAAGATGCTTGTTTTCCTCTCTTCCACTCACTATGTATGGGCTGGGGGGACAGGGAACCCATTCTAGCTTGAGAGGGGACTTTGGTGAACACCACAACCCAGGACAAGGTGTAAACTGTATTTGTGATTGCATGCGTTCTTATCTTCTGGTGGTGCCCAAAACAAGCTCACATACATGTATAAAAGGGTAAAGGGGAATTGGAACACATGGATCATGTTCTCCCAGGACAGAAAGAGAAGCATCTATCTAACAAGGGAAGCTTTTCTTTGTCAGAGAATCTCCAGGGATGCCTAGAAGTGAGTGCCCAGGTCCATGGGAAACATACCCAGCATGCTTTTAGTCTAGTGCCCCCTAGGGGTGTAAGGCTTGTCACATACCTCAGGACAAGAGCTTAGGGTCTCTATTTCTGAGTCATGGTCTTAGTATCTAGTTCAGGCAGGCCTCAAATTCAGTGCATAATCCAGGCTGACCTCAAACTCCTACCTTAGCCTCTCAAGTACTGGGATTGTAGGCATGCATCACCATGCCTAGCCTCAAGCCCTTTTCTCGCATAATGCTGAGAACTTACAACAATGTCCTATAAGAGGTATAAATAAGACTTGAAAAAGTGATATTGAGGACCTTCTCGTGTTGAGTATTCCATGTTAATGTTGTAGAGAAATAAAATATGCACGCATATTCTCACATACATAGTTGGGTGAATAGAAGGAAGGAAGGAAGGAAGGAAGGAAGGAAGGAAGGAATAGATGGATGGATCAGTGGATGGATTAATAGACAACATCAGCCATGCTCTTGGGGAGGAAAGAAATCTACACAGATGCCAGGCACAGGCACTGTTCTATAGAGGTCTCCAGCAGGAGCCAGTGAATGCTCTAGACAAAGGGGTCATTGGTCAAAAACAGTGTATCAGGAGGAAGATGACATTTTGAAAGGAATGAGAGACAGATGGGAAAATTGTGGAGGGAAGCCCAGGAAGACACCAGTAGAAACCTCCCTTGGATAGACAGCCATACCTTAGGATACCAATAAGTGAGAGCAGTTAGGAAGGACTTTTTTATTTTGATTTTTCTTTTGGATTTCCCACCTCTATTCCTTCTAAATTTGCTCTTTATATTCAAGGTAAGGTTGTCTCTCTGACACATTCAGAAAAGCATGGGTTTAAATATAAGCTCTTGTAAATACAATAAAACTTTGAATTGGTTCTTTTTTTTTTTTTTTTTTTGAATTGGTTCTTGATCCATGGGTTTAATGTTCTTTCTGTAAGAAAACAATGGGAGACTGTTATACTGTGACTTCACTCTGGCAAATATTTATAGCATTTGTGTTTAAAAGCAGGAAAGATCTTTTTGACTTTTTATTTTTGTTTTCCAAATGCTAAGGACATTATTCACTAATAAAAAGGCCAGAGATTTGCCCACCTGAATATATATCAATGTGTTATAAGCTTCACTAATTTACTTGTCACTTCCTGAATTTGTGATGATTCTGCTGGGCTGCCTGAAGTTTAATGTATGTAGAAAGCAGATTAATGGTGCAAACAAGATTATTGGGAGAACACTTAAGAAAACAAGACTTTTCAAGTACTTTGGTAGCATTAATTTACATAAACACCCCACATGTTAATTACATGTGAGTATTATCTATTCATTAAAGTGAGCTTGCAGGGTCTGCAGTTGGCAAAAGCGCTGCTCGTTTTGACAGATACTTAAAAGTGATCGAAATTGCAATTCTTTTTATATGTTCTATCGTTCTCATTTAGCAGTAATTTTCCTTATTACAATGAGAAATCTTTGTCTCTGCTTTTTCATTCCAACAGGCAATGGAAATTGGAACATTTGTGCTATAAATCAGGAGAACTTATCACAGAAACAGGTTACATGGATCAGGTATATTTTCTTGTTTATACAAAGTGTCTCAAAAATTCTTAAATATACCCTATGGATAATGTGCCAGTCTAATGCATGGTCTTGTTTTTTTTTTTTTTTTTAATTTGACAGATAATAGAATATCTTTACCCTTGTTTAATTATTACCCCGCTGGACTGCTTCTGGGAAGGAGCAAAATTACAGTCTGGGACAGCATACCTCCTGTAAGTGTTCTTCGCCTTCTGATGTCTGCTAAAGTGTAGGAGTCAGCATTTCTGATGTTGCTTAGCATTGTTTATCCTACTTCAATTTAGAACAAAAATTTAAAACATCGAAATTATGTGTGCCTTTTTTTAAAAAAAAGATTAGTTGGTAGAAGAGAGTTCAGAATGTTTTTCCTCTTTTTCTAAAAAAAGTTCTGTAGGCATCATTAAATTTCATTCACTTTACCAACCTATTTATATGCAAATAACATGCAAATTATTGCAGAGTATGTTTTTTTAAATTCTTTATAAAATGTTCATAGTTTTGTACACCAGGGACTTAAACCTTCACCTTAAAGAAGAGCATGATTTTGTGGGCATATGTAGAACTAAATACTTTGAGTTAAAGTGTAAGATCATCCTGTGAAATAAAATACCTTATTTGGATCACATTAATGACATTTAAGGGGAAATGTGCTGTGTTGAAGGCCATGGTCTCTGATGCTCTCCAGTCTAGCAGCTGGATATTATATATGCATCATCATTTAAAGAGTGATTGTTAATCAGTAGAGACATTTTCAGTTAATTATGCAGGAGTTAGTGCTTGGGTTATTGTTTCTGTCCTGGCTTGCAAATATCTGCAAAAGCAATTTGCAGCGGCCATCCCCTGACCTTCAGTGTACAGTTTTAGATGGGAAATAAGGGGTTTTGTGTTTTCTGGTTGGGAGAGTCTGAATAATGACTTCAGCCTGGTTAAGCAGCTACAGTGTGGCTTGAACCACATAACAGGCAGCCAAAAGCCTTTCTGGTCTGTCAACAGCACAGATTCAAAAGTGAGTGTAGGGGGAGTGGCAGTGATGGTGGTGATGCTGGGGGCCGCAGGGGGAGGGGGCTTCGCCACCTGACTGCCAGGTGGTCAGAGAGCTCTGGCAAGTATGGAATCGTTAAAGGCAGCAGAGATCAAATGTTTTGATTGATGACATTTAAAGAGCATTTATCGGGCTTGCAAGTGTTAATTTGACATTGTGCTCTTCCCAGTCTTTTTTTTTTTTTTAACTTTTGATCTGGGTTTTCTGTTTAGAAATGCCCATTGGTTAATTTTTTAAGATTAAATACACTGTAGCAGCGGTTGAGGTTCTTTGATGCTTTCTTTAATTTGTAAGCCCTGCACTTGGCGTTTTCAGTCATGAATCACTCTCTGGATTAAGTTTACACACTGATACCCCAAGAAGAACCATTTATTTGTTTATTCCAGAATCTCAGAATCCCTGTGGCCAGAAAGCCTCTTGCATTATGGCCTAAAAATATGCAGAGGGTGTCTTTGAAGACTGCTTTTCATAGTCTCACCTCCTGATTTCTTTCACAGAGGTAAACCTCCTTTGCGGTGGACAAACTTTGACCCTCTGGAATTCCTAGAAGAGTTGAAGAAAATAAACTATCAAGTTGACAGCTGGGAGGAAATGCTGAATAAGGCAGAAGTTGGTCATGGGTACATGGACCGTCCCTGCCTCAATCCAGCCGATCCAGACTGCCCTGCAACTGCCCCCAACAAAAATTCAACCAAAGTGAGTACAGCCATGCAGCATTCCCAGGGGGCAAAGAGAAAAGCTTTTCTGTTTCCATTTAGTGTTCTCTTTATTATTTTCATTTTTAAGGTTTCATTCTCTGTAACCTTCACCCCTTTTTAGTCGAGAGAACTACATTTGTTTATAGAGCTAAATTTTGCTGTAAGATTTGCCATACACTTCTCATTAGCCTTGTTATTAATGTTCTCTCTGAAACAAACAAGCCCTTAATGCACTGGATTTTAACAAGGCATGTGACCTGCCTACTAATTCTCATAATGATGTGGCTGTCTTTTTATTTTAGCCTCTTGATATGGCCCTTGTTTTGAATGGTGGATGTCATGGTTTGTCCAGAAAGTATATGCACTGGCAGGAAGAATTGATTGTGGGTGGCACAGTCAAGAACAGCACTGGGAAACTTGTCAGGTAACACAGCACACAGCAAAACCCAAGCCAATGATGCTTTCTCCTTTCCTTAAAAATCACTTCCGCTCTGTCATCTGCAAGTATCTTACGTCCATACCTCACTGCTATCCTAGTCTGGGCTAATCATATATTAAGAAATATTAGCAGTTCAGACCAGCTTGAAGAGCCACTGTGGAGGATGTTTGTCTAGAATGGATTTGTTGCTTTTAGAGAAACTATGGATGTTATCCTTTCCTATTATGTGAAAATAAGGGAGCAAGTACTATATAAAATAGGCAAAAGAAACCAGCCACAATGCATAGAGCTGAATGGTATGGGCTCGGTGCTGTCACGTACTGTTAAAGGAAAAGGCCAAGAATCAAAGGCGAAACAAGAATTACCCTTTGTGTGCATGCAGGGTCTGGCCAGTCAAGTGTCAGGTGTTTGGTCTGTGATTTCTCCCTTGGGAAGGCCACAGTCTGCGCACCACGTATGCCTCACTGAGCCCGCCGTATCTGGTCAAGCTATCTACTGCTGTACCCTTCCTGTTGCAAGAAATGGAAACTGAGAAAGGAAATTGCCTATTAATTTAATTTTGGGGGTCTATCTGTAAAGGGTTTGTAAGGTTATACTTTTAATATGGTATATCAATCTATTAAAAAAAAATAATCATCCCAGTCCCGTCTGAACGGAAACATGTGCTCATGGGGAGGATGGGAACTGTGTGAGTGAGTTGGGGGGTGCATTTGGGTTTTTTACATTGTGGAAGCTGTTTCATGGGAATGTTGATGTGCCTTCTGGTCTCTTTTACTCCACTCCAGCGCCCATGCCCTGCAGACCATGTTTCAGTTAATGACGCCCAAGCAGATGTATGAGCACTTCAAAGGGTACGAATATGTCTCGCACATGAACTGGAACGAGGACAAGGCAGCGGCCATCCTAGAGGCGTGGCAGAGAACATACGTAGAGGTAAACCACCTGCAGATCTGGGCACCAGTGACTCAGCTCATGCAATTCCTCCTTTGGATTTATCTTTACCTCCTTTGGGTTTATCTTCACACAGTATAGTTCCTAGGAATTTTGATGGGATGCTAACTTACTGTTGAAAATCTTGAGATAATATTGAAGACATGGTTAGTCAGGTTCAGATGCCTTGAAATGCTTCGGGTAGCCCAGTTGTGAACTCAAAAGCTCAGGCATTAGACCGATCTATTAAAAAACAAAACAAAACAAAAAAAACACTTGGTGAGCAAGAAAAGGTATCTGGAAACCATTAGCAAGGTATAGAATCTGTTCACAGCTGCAGGCCCCTTGGTCGGGTCATGTGACAGGGGCTGGCCTTTGTTTCCCAAGCAGTGACCTCTATGGAGCTGCGTGTGACCTTTTCAAAGTGGCCAGGGAATGGAGGAGGAGGAGGGTGAGTGGCTGTAAGAATGAGTTGTTTTGGATTAAGGAGGGACTGATGGGACTGCAGACTGGAGACTGCAGACTGGTCAGGAGAGTTGGGGAGAGGAGAGCAGGAGTCTTAGACTTGTGGTAAAATAAAGCACTCTGAGTGAATTCCCTTTCCCCAGGCTAGCTCTCTACAGCAGCCATTCTCCATGGTCAGCGATTTTCCCTTCACCCCAGAGCCAGGGTCCGTTGTCAGTCCAAGATCAGCCCGAAGCCTGCACCCCTTTCCACCTAAATGACGAGTTTTTGTTAATTGTATCAGACAAGAAAGTGTAGCAGTGGGACGAAGTCTCCCCCAAGGTCTGTACTATTGAAGCTTCTGGAAGCTTTAATTCTACTTGAGAACTCAGGCTTGTGTTATGCGCTGTCACCACAGGTGGTTCATCAGAGCGTGGCCCAGAACTCCACTCAAAAGGTGCTTTCCTTCACTACCACAACTCTGGATGACATCCTAAGGTCCTTCTCTGATGTCAGCGTCATCCGAGTAGCCAGTGGCTACTTACTGATGGTAATAATCCATTCTGGGCTTCTGGAGTTTGGGGTTGGGTCTGAGTTGCATTTCATTGTTGGTTTTTACCTTTCTGTGGCACTCCTGCTCTTTACGTGCTCTTACCTCAAGTGTGCATCCAACACGGGGAGAGCTTGGCTTCCTAACGGTTTATTAGAAAGTAATTGTGTTTTTCCCCCATTGTAGTTGTCCCATCTTGGACTCATATTTATTGTTCAATGACTGTAATGTAAAAAGTTTTGTTGCTGTGGGATTGAATATGTTTTATTGCCATTGGATGTGGGGTGCTGAGTGGGGAAAAACATTAGAATCATGACCCGTTCTAATGTTGAGCTTTTGTTTTGTGTTTCCCCCTTGTTCTGCTTGCAGCTTGCCTATGCCTGTTTAACCATGCTGCGCTGGGATTGCTCCAAGTCCCAGGGTGCCGTGGGGCTGGCTGGTGTCCTGTTGGTTGCACTGTCGGTAGCTGCAGGACTGGGCTTATGCTCATTGATTGGGATTTCCTTTAATGCTGCGACAACTCAGGTACTAAAAGAGCCATTCCATTTGGCTGCTATTCCTTGATAAATGCTCTTTCCCATTCTGGCCCCGCAGTCTCCTGTGTGTCCAGCTTTTTCCAGGAGGCCATAATGGGCAGGGGGCATGTACCACTGTGGGACTGGACAGAAAGTGTCTTGGGTTTATATATAGGTAGAGAGGCTTCTCTTAGAGCAATTTATATCATCCACCAAAGCCCCTTGTTCTCAAAGTCTGCTGGGAATTAGAATCACCTGAGAATGTCTTGCTATGCCGTCCAGTCTGGTCTTGAACTCGTGGCGAATTTTCGTGCCTCAGTCTCCCAGAATTACAAGTGTGCATCAACACACCAAGTAATTCCTATTGATCAGTTTCTGAGTCTACAGGTTTGCGGTGAGAGCCAAGAGTTTGTATTTCTCATCAGTTTTCAATGTTGCTATTGCCAGGTTAACTCTGAGAACTATTTCAATTAGTTAGATTCCTTCTCATGTATTAATTTTTTAGAAAATTAATGTATACATATAGAAGCATATAGAAATGTGTAGCCAGGCATGATGGTACATGCCTGTGCTCCCAGCACTTGGGAAGCTGAGGCTGCGGCAGGAGGATTACTGTGAGTTCAAGGCCACCTTGGGTGAAGGCAGCCTAGACTACACAGCAAGGCCCTGTCTCGAAAGAAATAAAAAATATGTAGCAGGGTGTGGTAATGCATAACTAGTCCAGCACTTCAGGAGGCTGAGGCAGTAGGGTTGCAAATTAAGTCCAGCCTGGGCAGCTTAGACTCTACCTTAAGAAAGAAAAAGGCTGGGAATCTAGCTCAGCATGAAGAGTCTGGGTTCAATTCTCCACACCACCAGAAGGAGGAAGGGCAAGAGGGAGATTAGAGGGGAAGGTACTGTCATCAAAATTGCTAGACTTTGAGGATAGAAACTGTCAGATAAAGTGAATTCTTTACTGTGAGTTAATAGCAGCTCACCTGTGGGCAACCCTTAAAAGACACTGGGGACAATCTTGGAAGAGCTTTTAGAATTACTCATGTTGCATCTTGCACATTTAATGCTATGTGTCCCATTTTCCCTGCAGGTTTTGCCATTTCTTGCTCTTGGTGTCGGCGTGGATGATGTTTTTCTTCTGGCACATGCATTTAGTGAAACAGGACAGAATAAAAGGATCCCTTTTGAGGTAAGAGCAAAACAAACAGACTTTGAGGACACCCAAAGTCCCCTCTGTTCCTGAATATTTGTTCTTGAATTTTTCTCAGTCTGACCCAGTAAATATTTCAATCCCAAGTCAGATGACATGTTACTGGCTCTGAATAAATAAAACAAGCTGGAAGAACCTCAGGACACGTATTAGAATTCCCAAGAGCTCTATCTGGGGTACCTTTAGAAATACGGGTGTTTGTTTTAGTGTGACAATTCACACTAATTGCCACCCCCTTTCCAAAGCCCAGATTTGTTGCTTGCTTTGCCTCCTGTCTCCAATTTTAATTCTATCTAAAATTTACTTCCATGTCATCTTGCAACTTTGCTGCTTTGGAACATGCCGAAGGACCCAGGAATGCGCAGGGAGTGCGGGGTCAGGGAGGCAGCAAGAGGCCTCTGGTCCCCGGGTGCCACGTAACTGGCAGCTGTGGCATTTGTCCTTTGGCTCAGCTCTGTGACCTCTCTTTCTCAGGACAGGACCGGGGAGTGCCTCAAGCGCACAGGAGCAAGTGTGGCGCTTACCTCCATCAGCAACGTCACCGCCTTCTTCATGGCTGCGCTGATCCCCATTCCCGCACTGCGGGCCTTCTCCCTGCAGGTGAGTCTCCAGCCAGGTGCAGACACTCAGTGTCCCCAGCCAGCTTTTTCTTGAAGTAGCATATGGGGTTCTGTTCACTGCTGTTGGCACTGCTGCAGGCTGTCACCCCCCAACAGTCCCTCCGGAAATTCCCGCTGGGTTCTCAGGCGTGTCATCTGGTGCGGTTGTGCTGTGTAGATGGGTCCTCCGGCTGACCCTGGCTTCTGGTTCTTCCCCTCTCCTCTCCTTCTGCCCCCTTCATCTCAGTCATGCCTCCCTTTCCTTTGCCTTGCTAAAGCAGCTTGAGTCCCAACCAAGGCAGTCACATAGGGCAGATTCTGTTGGTGTATGAAGATGAGATTTGTAGACCAGCCTGAACAGAGACTTAAAACTGAATGGCAGATAGTGCTGGAGGGTGCTTTTCTTTGGTGCTCAGTGTGTTCTCTCCTGTCCCCTCACCTATTTGGGTCTCCACTTCTCGCACAGGCCACCTAAACAACTCAGAATACACCTCACACATAGGGCATGATGCCTTCCTAATGAGTCTGCCTGCTTCTTCCAGCCCCTTCATATCCGAGGACAGTGGAGTATTTTCCTAAGCAGCCAAGTCTTACAAGCTGGGGGCTGGAGGGGGGCGCCCAGGATGGTATACCAACCAGTTGTTCCCCGTTTGATGTAACCTATCAACTTTGGCTCTTTGGAGCTTGAGAGAACCTGAAAAACAGTGAAGGAAGGAGATACTTGACTGGTTTATGACATGGGCTCTCCACCTGAGAGGGTCTGTTGTTACATCTCAAGATGTTACTGAAACTCTGTGAATCAATTCTACATTTTTAAGTTCCTCTGTTTTGAAAGGAAGATAAAAAAGAACAGTGCTTTCTTTTCGTGCTTTTCTAACATTATGTGTGATTGGTGAGATGGCCAGGTTCCTTAATGGAAACCACTTTTGGTGTCACTTGTTAAACTGTTGTGACCTCTCACCTCACTCACCATGTCCCAAGGTGGGTCCCCAAGAAGAGAAATTGACAGACCCAGAAATTCAGTTTCGGTTTATATGAATTTTAATTGTATCATGGAATTCACGGGATTCTTTTTTATCTTTCCTGTTACTAAGCAGTAGGGTGTTTTGTTATCCTCTCTCCCGCTACATGCTAAAGAAGCTTCACAACCCGTACAGCGTGATCATTGCAGGATGTGGACCCCTGAGCACCTAGTGTTTGAGATATGAGGTTTCCTTAACATGGAGTGGAAGACATAGTAACAGAAAAGATTTTGTGCCATTTTTCATAGCTACCAGCCTCTAAACTATCAAAGATCTATCTGGTTTTTGTTTTTTTTTGTTTTTTTTTTTTTTTGAGACACTGTCTTTGTAAGTATCACACAGAATGGTCTCCAACTCGTAACCATCCTCCTACCTCAGCCTCCCACGTGCTGGAATTACAGGTGTGCTCCACCACACCCAGCTTATTTTCAAATCTATGCATAAAAATAATGAATGAATAACATTCAGTATAAACTGGGACTGAAACACAAGGAAGGTGAAAATATCCAACTGCTTAGTAGTAGAGAAGATGACCATGAAGTTTGTGGTACGGTTGACATTTCTGAAAACCTTTTGCACAAGCACACATCTGCCATGGGTTCTGTTCCTATTTCATGTGTAATAGGCATTGGTAATGAGAAATTGTTCTGGGGTCTTTTAATAGTGGGCCCTCCTTCCATGTTCTCTCCTTTTCCCTTTCTGCTTCCTTTTTTCCTTTCCTGTCTTTGATCTGCCTGCCCTGTTCTTTATCCGCTCACACTCCATTTCTTCTTCTTTTGTCTCACTCTTGCCCTGTCTTCTCTCAGTACATATGATGCTTCGGCAAGGAAAGCTCCCTTTATGATATCCCCTGGTGTGGAGGTCTGAAAAGCTACATGAGCTTTACTTACGCTAAGGTCTCCCAAGGTAAGCACCTTCCAGAGACAACCGAGTACTGTTAGTTTTGTGCTTCTCATCAGTTTATCAGCTTTAGAAAATTGCAACTGTAACACCCAAGAATCTTCATAATTATAAAGAATGGCTTCCCATGACACTTGAGCTTATTCTCTTAAAAAATAAAATGAGAAAGAAAGCAAATGTAAGATGAAAGGGGCCGGGGATATAGCTCAGCAGTATAATAAGTGCCTGCCTCGTAAGCACAAGGTCCTGCGTTTGATCCCTTTACCAAAGAAAGAGAGTGAGAGGGAGAGAAAGTGGGGGGAGAGACAGAGGGATAGATAGCATGCAGTATTCTTGCAGTGGTGTCAGAAATTTTACCCTGATTCCCTTTCAAATGTATTAACCCAAAATTGACCATTAGGTGGCTATTTCCTGTAGGGACTTGTGTTAAGTTGTGATTCTAGATACTCATTTACGCTTATATTTGTGGGATCTTTCAGGTAAAGCACTGAAGGGAAAGAGACCCAAATTGGTTCTGCTCAATCATAAACCCATATAACCTTTAGATTTTTCCCATAAAACAAAGTTAGGGGCTGAGCATGTGGCTCACTGGTGGAGCTCTTACACAGCATGCGTGAGGCTCTGGGTTTGATTCCTGGCATCACTAAAACAAGATAAAAAAAGCTGTCTTAAACCTGCTCCTGTCCACGTGTCACTTCTGTACCAGGAAGCTTTGACCCCATCTGTAGTTTTTCAGGAGCCTGAGAGCGTCCTGTGGCAGGCTGGAGCCCATAATCTGGCTATGCTACTACCCCAATAGTGTTTCTTCTGTAAACACTGCTAGAATAAGACCCCTCGTCTATCAGTGGTGAAAGGGCTTGGATACCCAGCTCCGCCTACATGTGTTCCTATAGGGCCATGGCAGATCTTTGAGGACGGGGACATTTTCTTTAGGCACATTAACAAGAATTGATTCACAGGGCTGGAGAGATGGCCCAGTGGTCTAAAGCACCTACTTGAAACAAGCTTGGCAAAGCACAGGG